CAAAATAATTATCACTTATAATTCGAGAGAATAATACAACCATAATAAATTATCACTTCTAAAAGAAAATACAATGTTTTTATTTCACGTATCATAATAACTCTTTAATACTACAATCTCAATTTTTTCACTACCACATTACTATAGTTTAGAACCAGCATCTTTGTCCAAAAACCACGTCAACTCCTCGACAGCCTTCACTTTGCCACATGGCAACTGGTCATTGCCACCGCTGCCCAACATTATACCGACAACATCTGCCACCTCCTTACCACCATGGCAATGTTTGAAGTCGAGTTGATTATCGGGAAAGTAAACGTGATCCTATTCGGCGGCGGTTTAGGTGAATCAGTTATGAATGTGATTCATCGTTTTTTCTCGTACTGCTGAGGCCTGTTTGGGAAAAGGGATGCTATGTGACCGTCGAACCCGATACCATTTAGAATAATGTCGAATTTCGGGAATCCATCTACTGATGTAGGGATGATTTTCGTCTAGTAGTTTTAGACGAGTTTCGTAATCTAAGGCTACATCAGATGATGAATTCTTGTAGTTTATAGGGTAGGTGTTCTTTTTTTGAATTGGTAGCTACATTATCACACAAATCATAGTCTTGTCATGTCACAATAATTAGATCATATGTGATATTTATGGTACATTGGTATAGTGTAGTTGTTTTATTCTCATACCTTGAAAAGAAAACCATCAAAGGCCAATTTGTAATTGCTCAATGGATTAGTCATTGGAACTACTCTATCATCAACCCAAAAGATGAGCCACTTTGACCAATCCACGGTGGTGCTAAACGGAGGCTCCAATAGTTTCTCAATATCAATCAAAATAAAATAATTTTCATGTAGATATTTCTATTCTACACATATAAAAAGCATAAGTCTTAATTTTTAGTTCCTGTCCTTGGCGAAAGTATGCCATACTCGTAAAAACTTAAATTTTCTTTCCTCTTCTCATTTTTTGTGTTATTAATTAAGTACTACCAAAAATATCGAGTATGCCTTAACTACAAGAACACGGGCACCTCACTCGATCCAACGTTTTTTAGAAGAAATATTTGACTTGTTTTTAATTGAATTATGTGATTCGAATTTCGTTACCAAATAAGTATTGAATCACAAAAGAGATAAATTTTGAGACGACTTGTACTCTAACGGTAAAACACAATTCAAATTTCTCACACTTTCTCCCAATGCACACATCGTTTTACCTCATGGTATAGATGAATGTACCTCTCGAGAGTACAACCGAGAAAGACCCTTATCTTTTTTATATTTATAAGCTTTGCATTTTGCAAGAGCTACCAGCTACATCTCTTCAATCAAGTGTGCATACAATGGTTTTGCCATCTAATGCAAGAGCCAAATGTGGGATTAAGACAAGAGCTGAAAATAGCATAATAAGTTTCATATTACTAGTGCGTATCACGTCGATGCACGGAGGAGCTCATATTTTACACCCTATTAACCTCTCTTTACACAATACTTTTTATTTAAGTAATATTATTATACCTTAAATAATAGACATATACCATACATTGCACAAAATTTAGTATATAATATGGTTAAATCACCATTTAAACATAATTTATTATATTTTTTCAGTGGTATCCTATATACGATATATATATTCTTAATATTTCTCAACATATAAACTTAATTGTTGTATGCCTGTCATTTTTTATCAACAAAGGTTTATGTGAATCTATCATGTAGTTTTATTCAATGTCCAACATTTGTCAAATTACTGATCAAATTATAAGATGAATCCAAATATTATCCAATTCAAGTAAATACCTCCCTTTTTTATTGAAATATATTTTAAATATTTTTTGAATTCTATATTTCATTTTTTATATTTACGAAGGTAAAAGAATTTTGAAATTAAGATATACATTTAAATAAAAATATATATTAAATTATAAATTTATAATTAATCAAAAATAAGTTAAAAAATATTTATAATAAGACATAAATTAATACTATTTAAATGAGCTTAATATCTAATGGTGTGGTAATATTAAAGGGGCTTGATATCACATAGAACAATATTTGTTTTAATCGGCCCAAATAACGCCGGCCCATTACATTATCTTTTACTAAGCCCATTAAAATTGGAATTTTATTAGCCCAAGACTGAATTTCCATCAACCATAAAAGAAGATCCGACGGTTGATTTGTGGGTTAGTATAAAACCCAACAAAATCGGAACTATCGGGCAAGAGCTTGCTCTCCTAATTTCGCCGCAAACATTTTTTTTTTTCGTTCTATCTTCTTTCATTCTTTTTCTGGTCGAAGTTTATTGTTTTTTTACTATACCTGAAAATTAATTTCACTTTTAGGTTTGTTAGATAGATTTATTGTATGAGTTTTGTTCGAATACATGTATTTTATCATATCAATCTTAGGTTGTTCTTCACATTTTTTTAAACCTACTCGAATGAAGATTAGAATTCATTTTGAATCTTTAAGTTTTTGATTGATTTTGTATTATTGTTTAACGATTAATATGATTCTTAAAAAAGAATCATTCGTTTCTTTGCCAGAAAACGAAATTTTTTTTATTATCTTTTAGTTTTTTTATATGTTAGGGATTTTTATTTTTGCTTTATTGGGTTTTTAAAATTCTTCAATATTAGGATTTTTTTGTTGGATTTAGGAATTCTTTTGTTCGATTTGCTTGGATTTTTTGTTAAAAATCTGTTGTTCGATTTGAAATCTCTCAACAATTTTGATTTTCCAGTTTTAATTAACATATTTTTGTAAGATTCTTTTGTAGGAATTGCTTGGATTTTTTTGTTAAAAATCTGTTGCAGATTTGAATATTTTTCCAAAAAATTCACGTGTAAAGCCGTGATTTTTGGGCATAGTAACAGCTCATATGGATTGGATTTTAGTTAATGATGTCCCTGGAAAAAAAAAAGTTTCCATAAGTAGAAAACATTTTAATGAAGAAAGGGGTTTGACCAAAAATTTAGTTGCCATTTTTTAAAAATAGTAAATCTGTTTATATATATATATATATATATATATA